GTCAGAAGGGCTGGTTAAAGCCCTCTGAATGAGAAATCTTGTGATTCCTGCTCCCATATAGGCTGAATTTGCAGTAAATAGCAGCGTGTTGAGAGTTCTCTTAGAGCAGCTTTGCTGGAGATTTGATCCAAAGCCTGTAGAAGTCTGTGATTAGACTTCCTCTGCTGCAGCAGCCCCTGGGCAAAGCAATGCCATCAACTTTTTATGGCTCATTCATGGGGCTGGTCTGATGCATTTCCCAAACCAGAATCCCAGTGCCAAGGCCCCAGCAGTCACAACTGACCAGCAGCTATTGCACGAAGGAAGACAAAGCACCTGATGTTAAGCACATCTGAGACAACATGCAGAAAAGAGTGTGAACAATTGAAACACCTAATAAAGCGCTGAGGGAATTTGAGAGCATGGATTTTAGCTGAGTTCATCATGCACAATGCTGAGTTTAACGGATTTAAGATAGCAAACAAAATGTGATTCTCCACAGCAAAGTCCTTCCTCAAATCTGTGTTCTTGACCTTGCCTGGAAGGCTTTGCTTAAGCCTTCAAGACTTGAAAGAAGTAGTAATCTGAATCCCCCATTGTTAGGTGACCCATCAGGATCACACATAGAGGGCAGGACTGAGAAGAAATCAAGATACAGTCAGGCAGCAGAGAGTCCCAAAGCAGGGACAGCAGGGGAAAGCACACAAGGAGAATGAACCTGGTTTGCAAGGCTTGACATCTGTAAAACCCATTCATCCAGCTTGGAGATACTTCAGCTTCAGCTGCCTAGAGGTTCACCCACCATGGAGTGACAGGAGGTTTCTGCATGTACCAAGAGGGGGTAATCAGTTGATGCGATGGGAAATGGCATGAAATGGGAGAATTTACCCGTCATGCTCTGCCACAGAGAACTCTCCCTGTTTTGACCTGTCCCGACAACCTCATTAGGTGCTTTGAAGCACTACTTTTATCCAGCATACATTTACAGGTTATGTATGAAGCAATCAGGATCTCACCGTTAGCTCCCCAGTTTCTCCATTACACAGTAATGTTTTGTGCTGTGACCCATAGCACCACTGAGAAGACAACTCCTGTGAGAAAACAAGCTCCTGTGTGGAACAGCAGGGATCTCAGGGTGGCCACGTGAGTCTTAAACAGCAGCAAATTGCTTGCAGTGCACAAACACTTTCCATTGAAAACCTTTGTCAGGCTGAACACAGGATCTGAGCATCGGGGCAGCACAACAACTGCTCTAGAAAATGGAAAGGAAGCCAAAGACTGACCAGAAACATAGAAGCTGGAGCCAGGAGAAGGAGCAGGAGTCAATAATCTCCAGAGGACACATTCATTTGGGCTTATAAATAACAACATTAAAGAGACTCTTCCGGATTTCAGTGACTTTTCTTCTTGTGAGTAACATTAGGAGTACACGCTCTGCAAAGCCATTATCATCATCCACAGAAAGATAAGGAACATTGGCTCAACCCAAGGCTCAGGGTAGTTGAATATTGGGCAAGCATCCTTCACTAAGCCAAGGTGGGAGGGGGATGAGGGCTCATGCATGTCTTTTGAAGGGCTGGTGAGCAAAACAGCCCAAGAATATTCTCAAGGCTGAAATAAATTAAGACACACATTTCCTTGGGATGCCTGGGATGCTCTGTGATTTTACGGCATCCAAAGTGCTAAGAAAAGCAAAGTGCTGCCAAGCCTGCATTGCTATTCATGTGGTAAAGGTCAGAGAGGTGCAGAAATGTCAGTTTTGCAAGTTATGAACTTCTGTAGCAGTTATAATCAAAATGCACTCAATGTCTAAAACTCTCCTTATGGTTAAGTAACAAGCACGAACTAGGGCAATGACAATGTAACACACAACTTAAAACACCCATTGGTACCAACTTAGCACATGAATCAGTGTCTGGTGCTGTAGATAATGTTGCAGCATACAAAAAATACCTCACTATTTGCACAGCCCATTAAGCCCTGTCTAGCCTCCAGTGAGGGGAGATGGTACGCTGTGTTTGGAAACATGAGCTAGGAATGATCAAGTCTAAGCAGCCCTTCAGCCTTCTTCATGTTCTGGTTCTCTTAAGGCCATTACAGAGGTGTCACTTAAAGATACTCCTTCATACCTATACAAAGCCGTATTGCAATGAAATGCCCCATGGCTGGCAGGTTGGACACAGGGGCTTGGAGCAACCTGCTCTAGTGGAAGGTGTCCCTGACTGTGGCAGGGGTTGGAGCTGGATGAGCTTTAAGATCTCTTCCAACCCAAACCATTCTATGGTTCTATGACTCTATGAAATACCAGAGCACAGAGGAGCAACTTACACGAGCTCCTACAACAACAAGATGAAAAAACGCATTTGTAATCTCTTTTGGAGCTGCCTTACCTTGGCAGAGACCAGCAGAGATGACAGTCATCATCCTGCTGTTCCCAGCAGCCACCCGGTTATTCATGGACAGCTGAAACACCACAGACAGGGGGCAGAAATGGACGTCCTTTCGGTCTCTTTCTCCTGCAATGATCACTTGACATGATCTCAGCTCCATTCGCCCCCTCTCCATGTCTGCGGCTGGAAGCACTGAGGATGAAGACACTAAGCACTAATTCTGCTCTGGTGAAGCCAAGCTCTGGCTGAGGTCACTCCCTGGAAGCTGGAAAAGCAACCCTGTAACATTAAATGTGGGTCCAAGGAGTAGAAAAGCAGCACTTGTGCTCCTTGCTCTGCCACAGGCCTCTTGTGACTATGGGCATGGCAGGTTAGCTGTGTTCTAAAAGGTGTTCGGGTTTGGTTTGGGTTTAAGACATGCTTTGGCAAGGCCTCTCCATTCTGTCAATGCATTTTCAGCTGGAAATTTCAATCTGCAAAAATCCCTGTATACCAACATTAGGAAATTCCCAGTCAGGTCTAATTAGCACTGCAGTTCCAATGTGAAGGGGCTTGGCTGCACAGACTTCACTTTAGACAAAAGCGTTTGTGCTTGCACATCAGACACTGCTCCCTCTGAGACACACAGGAATTCCGCCTGCCCATTCCCAGCTTCTTTCACAGTGCTGTGTATCACAAGACCTCAGGCCAGCTGTGGATTACAAGTCCTGACCCCACCACCAGGTCTTTGCACAACATGAAAGGGTGGAAACCACCAGGAGGAATTCAATGAGAAACCTCAGCTTGGGGAGAAGGATTAAAAGCAGGGTCTACCTGGGGTAGGGGCATCTGGCTTCGTAGCAGGGTGGAAAGCACAGTTCTTCACTGCAAAGAGAAACACATATCCCAGGAAGCAAGAGGCCGGAACGCATCAGAAACATCTTCACAAGCTCTCATCAGAAACCCATAGTCCCAACATAGCAGAGGCACGTTCCTTCCCATTTCAGAGTAAGGCATTGTCTGCTGGGTAGGAAAGAGTAAGTTGAATCAAGCCAGCTTGACTTACACATGGGCTGGGATTTCAAAAGCCAGATCAGAACTTAATAGGAGCTACGAGAGCCCTGCAGCCAAACACCCCATTTTGAGCACATCAGCCTGGGCTCCTCACAAACATGCATGAAGGCGTCTGACTGCTCAGCTTCCCACATTGTGGCGACAGCAGAGCTGTTCCCAGTGCTGGCAACACTTCCACGGTTATCAGCAGCAAGTAAACCAAGCACTTCTGGGCTCATCATTACAGTATCTGAGGGTCTTTCATGAGTTCAGAAGTATTTAAGAGGTTTTCTTTGGCTGTGGAGAGTCCAAGCTGGAAATCTGAGTCCCTTGGTTCTGGACACTCCTTGTAGGGAGACATGGAGATACGCGATTTCTCTGTCCTGATCAGCCTCCATCAGTGAATAGACTCCAGGTTGTTGAGACCAAAGGATAGGTAGAATCTCATACAACCCTAACCAGGATCAGGCAGGCTGAGTAGATGTACTTAAAGCATCAGCTGGGAGATAAGTAGGGAGGCCATAATTTTGGTGGCGGTTTCATCCAAAATGCTTGCCAGTGCTGCTAGAGAATAAACCAGCTCCATGGTCACCTGCCTGGCTCCAAAGGAGTCCAGTCATCAACTCTAATTGGATGGAAAGTGAGGATCCTCCACACTACATCAAAGCCTCATCCCTTTTCACCTTCTGAGAGAACTAGAGCTGAGCATCAATGCTTCTCTTAACACTTGTCTCCATTCTAGTTGTTGTCCTTGAGCTCATGCACATCTGGAAAGGCAAAAAAATCCCCAAAGAAACAGTGCACTGGAAAAGATGCCTTTGACCTGAGTCACTGAGTGGGATGCAGAGGAAAAACCAATCATGTGGAGACAAGGTGAAAGGCATTATTCCAAGGAATTGTGCAATGAACAAAAGAAAAACCCAAACCAAAGCAATCACACCCACTGGAGAAGCTGCCTGACCCGAGGAACCCCACAAATCAGAACCACCCATGAGAGCTCAGCCATCTGTCAGTGTCCCTGTAACCTGCAGGGACAAGGCATACAAGCATGCTGGGATCTCCTGGAAGAAATTCCAAGCCCAGTCAGTGGTGAATATAAACCATGTCTTAATGAACTTACACTTAAGTATCTCCAAAGCAGTTCACATATTACAACACACCATTCTCCTGTCAGCTTTCTAGTAGTATAAGTGAGCATTGGAGGCTTGGAAACAGGATCACACTACATCCCTTAATGACCAGGAGGGTCTTCAAAAGGTAGTCATCAGTCCAGATCAGGAGGTGAAAAGTCAGCTTGCCATCACCTGCAGAGACACATTTCTATGAGCTCCTGTTAGCCTACCACCCTAGGCTGTGCTTAACAATAGATTACAGTTGCACCAAATACAACTATGGACTCCCTTTTTGGGCTACATTTTACCTAAAAAAAAAACCAAAAACCAGAACCTGTTGTGTTTTGGGGTTTTGGTTTGGTTTGTTGGGTTTTCTACATGTTAGTCTCCAAAAATGTAGTTCTTCAGGGCAAATGAAAGACACTGAAATAAAATGGGTTTAACTTTTCTCTGAAGAGTCCCCCAGAGCCTTCAATAGAGGTAGAGTCAACTGAAAGAGCTTTTGATTATTGTGGTTTGTTTGCCCCTTCTGTCTTTAGCTAGTCCATCCAACCAACAAATACTTGAGCATCTACTTCAGCTTTTCCTTGATCTGCATTTCTCCTTTGGCAAAGCTGCATGGTCCTCAAGCACGTATCCTTACTAACACAGGGCCATATCACCACGCTCTCCAGCTCAGCACGCTCTGAATCCTCAATACTAATTAGATTTGTCAGACACTATCTGCTTTTGTTAGAGATTACTCTCACCCCTAGGGGACTCCTCTCTTTCCTTTGAATCTGGCAGAACAAGTCCTGTTGCCTGTTAAGTGTATATGGAGGTACATCAAGTTCTCCTTCCAGGGAAGGCTCCAGTACATCGGGCTATATAATCAGTTCAGCATGAAGGTTTGTGACAAAACCATCTCTTCTCTGACAGAGCTTTCCATGGAAAGAGTTTTAAACTGTTTCCAAGCTGCTATTAAAAAAGAAAGGGGGGTGGGGGAGTGGGGGTAAAAAACCACTTATGCAAATAATGAAGTGTTAACAGCTCTTGCAGTATTTGGTGCTTTTCCCTAAGCCACAGCTCCTGGGGGTTAACAGGGGAACCCGAGCACGTGCGTGTGCTCCTGAGCCTCACATCTGCAAAGGGAAAAGGAACATTTCAACAGTGCCAGAAACAGGTTAAACAAACATTTACAAAGACTCACACAGGTATCACTGGGCTCACCTTGGAATGAGAGGAATCTGCAGGATGGGGTTTCCAGTGCCTGCTCCAGGACTATTTTCTCCAATCCTTTTGAAGTCTGTGTTCTGAGAGGTCAAATCTCACTGGTTTTAGCCACACTCTCATTTTGTTTGAGGCATGAAGGGAACAATATTTATCATTCAAACAAAGGAACCAGTTCTCTTTCCTCCCTGCTCCCGTCTTCTGCCTCTAGACAAGTGTGTCCCTCCCCTGCACTAATAGATGCATAAAGGCTCACCTTGAGGTTGAGAGCTTTATAGAAGAATTAATTACAGATCCTGACTTTACAATTACCAGTGAAGATGCTCCCATTATCGGCCACAAGACACACACACACACACACACTCACTCATGGCTTCACCTGCATAGAAAGAAGCTAGCAATGTGTTGAGAGCTGACTTTGAAGGCTGCAGTGAAAGCTGATCTCTAAAGTACAAGAGTATTGGAAGGGCCACCAAAGACCTCCATAATGCCACCTATAGCTGGGGGACATCAGCAGGTCAGAAGGAGAGAGAAACAATAATAGGTCAGATATTACAATGTCCTTGCCAAAATTTAAGAGAATTGAGGCTAAGACCATAAGAAAATGATTAATCGACTGCACTGACGATGTGACATTCAGCATGTGCTGAGGGGCTGTAAGTCTGCTAAACAGACTGAGAGTGATTGGAAGAAGATGCGAAATCACAGCACAGAGAAACCTCTCCTTAGAGAAGACATCTCAAAATGCCAGCATACAAACTGTATTGCGTGTTCCCAGTTCAGCCTTTGGACCCAGCAGTACGGAGTGGCTTAAGATCAAGACCACTTGTGTACTTACGTCTCCAACGTACAAACGCTTACATAGATGCTTTGGTATTTGCTGAGCTGGTGCCTCACGCTCCCCATTCCATAAATCCTCTTTCCCTTCAGGCTCCAAATGATGGAAAACGCTCCCTGAGCACAGAAAACACTCACTGAAGTCAAAGGGGAACTTGAACTGGAGAAGCACATCAGGAAGTCACCATCTGCAGAATACGAAGGGCTCCTCATTTATAAAACCAAGCTGTTAATAACCAGGAGAAGTGGGCAGAAACATTATGGTGGCACTCTGCAAGCAGGGCTACATGGTCTGCATGGGTTTACCAGCACCCTGGGGGTTCACACTGCCAGCTGCTGCAGGCTGGGACACCCTTGCACTACGTGTTTGTACAGCCCATGACACACCTGGGGCCTATTCTCTACAGGCAACTTTGGGCGCACACATCACTTAGAAAGCAGGTTAAAGTCAACACCTTACCTGTGCAGGTTTATACAGCAGGACAAGCACCTGGCACTAATCCTCCTCCCCAGCCAAGGTGCTCAGAGCAGTCAGGAGCACATCTCCCACATTGAAGAAGAACCACTATTAAGGAGAGGCTGGCCCGCTGTAGAGAGCTGCATTTCTCAATGCTTATGAGTCTTTGCCTGACAATTCTATACATCAAATATATATTTAAAAACATACCAACAAAATAAAGAGCAATCAAGTGTCACATCAGCAACATATCCATGCAGACGGGATTCCTCACACATGCACCCCCAAACCATTTTCACTGTCATCATAAGAGGCACTGTTTTGCTGCAGATAAATCCTTGAAATTTGTCTTTCAAAACCCCTATGAGATAAAAAAAGACAAAGTTCCCAGTGACTGCCACAGGGAAACAAAGCGATGAAAGAAGAGGAAACAGTGAGTTGTGGACCACTGTTGGTGGGCACTTGAATAGGAGCCCTGTGCTTGACACCACCAAGGCTTTGAACAAAACCAGAGTCAAACAGCTATTTGTCAGGGGGTACAAATGCACACAAGTGGTGAGAACCTGGCCCTGCTCTAAAATCATGTCAGGGACTTGTCTGTGGGGCTGCGCCGAGCCCCTGATGGATCACTGCACTCAGGGGCAGCATTGTCAGCAGCAATAATAAGACATCTGGTCCCTTCTCTCTCTGAAAGAGTATTTTGGCTCGACTGAACCCATGTGAGAGCTCCTCGCACAATGCACAGACACAGCATCTCGTGGTCACTGATCCACAGCACCAGCTCCATCCTCCTCACATTCTGCAGCATCCCTTTGGTCTCAGCCCCACTCCTTGACATGCATTCAGTTCCAGCCCCCTGCCACAGGCAGGGACACCTCCCACTAGAGCAGGTTGCTCCAAGCCCCTGTGTCCAACCTGGCCTTGAACACTGCCAGGGATGGGGCAGCCACAGCTCCTCTGTGCACAGCCATTCATGTTCCTCAGACATAGATGCTCAGGACACCACATCCAAGCTGACACACACAAGCTTGTGCAGCACTGCCCAAACCTCAGTGTTAAATCCAGCCTGCAGGCATGGGACTGCAGCACAGCATCACCTCCGCAAACGGAGGGGCCGGGATGTGCAGTAGGACACAAGGGTTTTAGCAAGCTGCCAATGCAAACAGGCTCCCCAGCCATAGTTAAACCAGCAGCTCCTGGGAAGCCATCTGCTTTCCTTCCTATGCACAGGCAGGACCTCAGCGCACAGGCACAGACCCAGGGAAGTGGGCATTAATTATAAAGCCTAATTCATGTAAAAAGCACAAAGTTTCTATAGAGAGCTTCAGCTCTGAGACAGCAAAAACAGAACTGGAAAAACAGGGACTTAACGCACTAAACCCTTCAACAGACCTCTCCTGACACCCTACACCCTACAGGGGACGTGGGGAGCAAGGGCTGTGTGAGACGGCTGGGAATGGACTTGAGACATAACGAAAATAAGGGAAATGGAAGCAAAGGAAGGAGCAGCAACGTGGAGGGAATAAAGAGAAAGATGTGTCTGTGCTTCAAGCGCTTCAAACCAGAGGCCCCACTTCCCAAATAACATTGCACTGGGGGAGGGAGGGACGGGGCAGGCTGGTTTTCATTTCATTTTTGCTTTGAAAACACCACTTTTCCACACATTTTTCCACACATCCACTACAATGTGGATTTCCACCCATGTAAAAAGGGAGCCTCAAAGCTGAGGTTGTCAGAAACCACGTATGTCTGAACTCACAAAGCCATGGCTGGAAAAGCCCCCAGGAGAGCAGCATTTCCTAGCACAGCATCCAGCCCCCTGGCACCCAGGCACAGCAAGGCAGGCACTGGGCAGAGCAGGACCCACCAACTGGAAAGAGCCTGCAGAGGGGACACAGGGACCAATTGCTTCTGCTCCAGCCCTGAACAGGGACCACACCAGTGCTGGGAGGAGAAATAATGAGCTGCGGGCGCTGGAGATGTGTGGGGTGATAAATGGGGTGCTTGGTCACGCAGCCCCAGCACTGACCAACGATACCTCTGCCGCTCATCCGGAGAGCAGGAGCCTGCCCATCCTCTCATCCTTTCCTAAGGAAGCTCAGCAGCGCAAGCAGCCACAGGCAGGCGCTGGGGTTAGCATTAAGGAAAGAGGGATGCTGACCATTGCAGCATCTCTCCAGCTCTGCCATGGCTGTGCTGGACCCCAGCTCTGTACCTTACCTGGGGCAGGCAGATAGCAGTCTAGAAACCTCTGTAATTCCTTGCGGGCACACGGCAGCCTCCCCTTTGCCAGCTGGCAATGGGCACCTACAGTGCTGTGTGCCCCGAGATGGTGCATGCACAGAGACCCCCTGCCTGCAGCTTCAAGGGGCTGGGAGGGGAAGAACCTGGCCCTGGACATGGGGATGTTCCCCACAGTGGCAGCTGTGGCAGGGATGCCTGTGGGAAGCAGGTGCTCCTTTCCCAAAGGCTGGGAATGGGAATGCTGGCACTGGCAATGCCTGTGCAGTGATGCGTCCCACTGGCTGGGTGCCCACTGCCAACTGCTGATGCCCTGACAAAGGAGCCACGTAAATCCAGTGGCACCGGCTGGTGGGGCTCAGCTCTGGTGCACCCCACAAGGCTCCTGCACCCCCTAAGAGCTGACTGGAGGCACATAAACCATCACACACAAGGTATCCAGCTTCACCACCCCAAAAGGGGCTTCACATATTGCTCAAGCTGGGGCTTTTCTCCCCCTGTCACATGCTCCTGCCTCCCCCACAGCCAGCAGCCAAGGCCTGTGGGTTTGGACCCCCTGGCTCTGCCTCTTCTCAGCATGCTCTGGGGATGCCGGCACACAGCATCCCACATCTGCTCCTGCCCTGCAGCCAGCCCTAGTGGAAGGTGTCCTTGCCCATGGCATGGGTTGGGGCTGGATGAGCTTTAAGGTCCCTTCCAACACAAACCAGCTTGGGGTTCTATGATGCTATGACCTGCACCCCCCTTTTCTAAAGACTGTCCCAGTCTGTCTGCAATAGGACAAGCAGACATAGAGCCTCCCAATCCCCCCTACCACACTGCAGCTCACCTGCCGGTCCACATCATTCCCATCACCAGCAGTGAAGGCCTCTAACACAGTCATCCCAGACTGTAAAATAATGGGTTTTGGGTAACATGACCATCAGACCTCATTAGCTGGCACAGTGGCTGGCCAGCATGCTGCTCCTTTCCTGGTCCATATGTTTTGCAGTGCAAAGGAGTCCTTTGACATTCAGTTGAATATATCTAACCCAGCCTGTGGAGCAAAAACACCATGGGCTGTAATTGCACCTGGAATAACCAATGACTTCCTATTGGGAAGCCACAAAGAGGGCCCAGTCCCCTCCATCCCAGTCCACTCTGCTGTGCACAGCTTGTGCACTTTGTCAGGTGCCAACAAGGGTCCACAATGCCTTCCCCCCCCCGCCCCATGCACAAAGCTCCCTGCAAGCTCCATGTGCTGGGCTGAGCAACCCATGATTTCCCTAAGCTGTGCCCTTGAAACCAGCTGAGAAGCCAGAGTTTTCCCTGACAAGCCAAGGAATCAGAACTGACATGATTGGAAAAAACAAGCCCCATTCCTCTTGGCAGGGAATTACTTTAGAGATCTCTGGTGTCATCACCCCAATTCACAATGAGTTTGTATCCAAGCTTTCCTAGTGCCAGACAACATGGGGATTTGACAGAGAAGGTAATTGAAGGAAATGGCTTTGTAACCTAGCTATTGTGCTGGCTAGCTCCAGCTCTCCTGCAGAACAAGGTTCACTTCCTGGCATGGCTGATTCATTATCCTTTATTTGTCCCCAGTGCCTCTTGACTTTCCTCTGCCTGGCAGGGATAACACAGACCCCTCCATCAGAGGTCTGTGGGGCAGTCAGGCTTTGTCCCCATCTGGTGAGCAGCAGCAAGGGGGTGATGAGCCCGCAGGTGTCCATGGGGCAGGATGAAGAGCAGGCTTGAACAGTCTGCACACCGCTTGGGCAGCATGCACACCGAGCGGTATGGGCATGGAGGGACAAGGATGGGGGACCTTCAGGTGGGAGAAATCCCACCCAGTGAGTCCCAGGGCCTCCATTCATTCCACATAAATAACCAAGAGCGTGGGAAAACCTGAACTGGAGCAGGGTTTGGAGCAAAGCTCATAATTGCATCCTTAGGGACATCCCAAAGTGGTGCGTACCTCAGAAAGAAAGTATTCTCTGTAGGGATACCGGCCAGACATAGGTCCTCATCCCCGGATCAGGCAGCTTTATCCTCCTTCTGAGAGGGATACCGCAGATAGTCTGCACCAAGCAGATAAAAGAATCACCGAAGGAGAAAAGAGCCTGCCCTGGTCCCACCAGGAAAGAGGGAAGGAGAAAAGGGGGGAAAAGTGAGGAGAGGTTCCAAGATGTGCTCTGTGCTGAGCAGCACTTGCATAGAAGTGCTCATGTACACAGATCATCCCACGCACCATCTTAGCACTGCTCTAACAACAACAACCATTGCACTGACCTGTGCATCCATTCAGTAACCACTTTGTTTCTGTAACCGCCGTTATCTAGGCTGGCTGTGAGCTGCTCTGGATGGATGTCAGATCTAAGCTGCATTTGAGACCTAGGGCAGTGTGAAACCCTAGACCTGCAAGCCCTGCAGATCCCACCAATGCCTGACATCCCCTTTGGGAGCCCTGTTAAAATGAGCTCATGCCCTTCAGAAAGCTCCTCTTTATTTAAATAAACAACCTGGAGGATGGAGCATAGCAGCAGTCGAACATACCGTGGTATCTGAACAGATCTTTCAGCTCCATGACCTGATTCCCTGATGAAGCCAGCACGAGCACGCCGAGTTTATGCAAAGCCAGTAACTTTGTGGAGGAGGAGAGAAGCAGCCCAATTATTATAGCTCATCTACTAGCAGAAAGTATTAGGAGAGTAAACAGCCAGCAACCACATAGGAATGCCTGTGAGATCTCTTACTTGCTGGCATGCAGGTCTCTCATCTGGAATTCATCTATTCATACGCACAATTGATGCCATTAAGCTACAGAGGTGGTTGGGGAAGGACATATTCAAAAGATGCCTCAAGTTATTGAAGGGGCCAGTCTCCAATGCCAGTGTCCCCTCTGGAAACAATGAAACTGAACCATCAGGCCAGTGTTGCAGAAGAAGAAGAAATGACATTTTCAGCAGCACCACCTAAAAATCATCGAACCACAGAATGAATCACAGACTGATATGGCTCCCATCACCCTGAAAAGCAGGATACTTCTTCCTCCTGTCTGCAAATTCATTCATGTTATCAGAAATAGGCCACAAGTCACAAAGGTCCAAACTCATCCTTGGGATCAATGAAGATGAGCTGGCTACATGGTGTCTGCTTCTGCAGCTGGTAATTGCCCATCACACCCAGCATTACCACTGAACAGCTTATGTGGGATGAATCCTGGGGGTCTCTAATCCTCCTAGGGGAAAGGCTGCACAGAAGAATGGTATATTTACTCTGTGGGTTATATTCTGCATCCCATTTTGCAGATTCCCTCAGGAAGCTTTCCCAGCACAAAGGATGGCCTACATCTTGTTTAATTACATCCAGTAACTTAAACTGCTGGAGAAACCCTCTTCAGCTATAATCATTTGGAGCTCTAAAGAAATCCCATAGCCTGGTGGAAAATGTCTGTATATATGATCTGTATATTCCCCTTAAGTGCTGTCCTTTATGCCTGCAATGATGCGTACACAGGTATGGACAGTCGTTCTCTTACCTTATCCTGAACGTGGGTCCTACAGGCTCAGAAAAGCAGATGTTTTGCTTACCTCTGTTTTGGGGTGTAAGTGGGAGCTCTGGCAGGAAAGCAGATGCCTCCCAGGAGCTCTGCATCACTCTCCATCATGACAGGCAGCTCCAGGGATAGGCTTAAGCTCAGCACCACTCTATGGGAAGGGACCACACATATTCAGGTTGCAGGGGTAGGGGGGAAAGCACATGAAGATTATGGAAGTCTCAGGGCAAGTAAATTACTGTTAATTGTGAGATATTTGATTGCAAGGAGCACAGATGGCCAGCCATCTGGTTTTGATTATAAAATTAAACAAGATTAACCCAAACAGGATTTCCTCAGCATTCTTCCTTGACTGACTCACAAATACATCTTTAACACCTATGCTACAGATACAGCACAATCAGAAGCTCTTCCTGCCTTTTCTAATCAATTTGGGCTTAATACTCTGCTGAGCAATGCCCTTGTACATAAAAGATTTCCAGTAGGACTGAAAAGGAGCAGGGAATGGATTCATTAAGAGATGAGAGAACTCAGAAAGCTCAAACAGAAGTAAAATAACCTCAGCAGAACACCTTTTACTCTGCTACACCACCAAACTCAGGTTAGAAGGGCACAAGACTATGGGCAGGAAAGGATGCTGCCAAGCGCAATGGCGGTTGGGTACCAACCTCTCCTTCCCACATCAGTACCCAGTCAGTGCTGTGATGGAAAAGGGATAGAACAGCAAAAGCTGGGGAGAGTGGCCAGAGGCCCCATCCTCTGTCCATCTTCTGTAAGACCCTCAGACCTCCACTCATCCTTCTCCCCATCTTGGTTTCCTCTATGACCATCCCTATGACTAATTCACTCCACCTACCCTATGAGGCACTGTGGGCAGCTCAGCACAGAAACTCATCCCACCAAAGCAAAGCGCAGGACAAACAGAGATGTCAGCATCCTCCTGGCTGGCAAGGACGGGCACACATCCTGGTTTAAATGCACAGCTCAGGTGCTATGTACGCAGCATCACATCACTGCTCAAAACATGTCTCTTACTACAGCCTAACTACAGTGTAACTACAGTCTTGCTAGAGTGGCCATCTACTAGATGATCTTAAGGTCCTTTCCAACCCAAACCATTCTATGATTCTACAGTGCCTCTACAAGCTCAGCATTTTCTTTGCCTATAAACTTCAGACATCTCCTGCTTGCCCCAGCATCCTCTCCATCACATTTCTCCTGCCTGTGTCCCAGGAGGGCAGGGCAGCATGCAGCAGCTCTTTTTTGCTTGTATGATTAGTGACTTTGAGGCATTTTGCAGGTTTCAGCCACTCTTTGCTTCAAGATACATCAATTCTGAGATCAAGCCCTGCAGGAATCAGCTCTGACCCATTCTGCCTGGTGAGTTGGGCTTGCAGGATCCACTAATCCATCCAGTTCCCAGCCCTCAGCTACCAAACCTGCTCTGGGAGTCAACTGCCTCTCACACTCTCCCTGGAAGCTGGGCTGAGGCCAAGAAGGCATTTCCAAGCCCACCCAGTTACCCTATGCACACGTACGGTATGGAATTGAATTTAAGAGCCCCTGTCCCTCTGCAAGCTTTTCTCATGCAGATTACACACGCCTTTGTTCAAAGCAAATTGGTTGTGAATGGAACATAATGGGTGTTGCAGGGAGATGTTCCTTTGCATCGCTCTGCAGTGTAAATCCTCAGGACCTGCTGCATCCAGAAACTGTCAGTAGGACCCTGCTCACCCCTCCTATCTTATCATGTACAGGCAGACAACCCGTTGGGAGAGTTCATTGCCCATCAGCCACCAACAGGCCAGGGCTCTCGCTCATGTAAACATGGGTTTTACTTTAGCTTTGAGTAGCTTCACTTTTAGGGCTACCCCACACAGAAAAATGCCATCATCCTCTTGGGGACAGCAGCTCCCTGCACCCCAGGCTGTTTGCCCACCCCATCACTGCTATCGGAGGCTGGGAAACCTGGTCCATGATTCCAGCCAGCACCCACTCGCAGGGTGCCAGGGAACTTGGCTTCTCAAGGGGATATTCCCACAGCCCCTTCAGTATCCTCTCTGAATGCAAAAGGAGGGAAGTGTGGCTGCACCTTGCCAGGCTGCTCACCTGTAAGCCAGAGACAAGCTTCCTGTGTCTGGACTCAGCTCTGGCCAAATACAGCAGATCTGGAAATACAGTGTGACTACCCCCCCAGTCATCTCTGACCTTGCATTTGACTGATTCCTAGTCATTCTGCATGCAAGGATGCCTGTGTGATGCAGGATCGCTGAAGTCTCTCCTGAACAACAGTTTGACACACTCTGCAATACTGATCCTCTGCAGGACCAGTGAAAATGAACCCAAAAGGTGGACGCCGACAGAGCTGATTTCACCTGCCAACGCTGATGGGAAAGGGGGGACAGAGGAACCATCCTTTCCTTCCTAAGCTGCAAGTCCCCTTGGTAAGAAAAAGCAAGGTTCCTGCATAGGCAGATTCATGGAATGAACTGAAAAGCTTTAATACGCCTTCTTTTTATTCTTTTCCCTTCGCCTTTCCCGCAAGAGAGAGCCAGGTTTACTTCAACATGGACCAAATTACTTGAGTTTCCACAGCCTCATTCTCAGCAGTGATTGTTTCACTCTGAGCTGGTGTTTGTCCAGAAGAACACAGTCCAAGGCAGAAACCTCGGCTGGAAAACTCCAATCCAAACAGGCAAAAGCATGCACAACTGAGAAGGGCACCTACCGTAAGGAGGAGCAAGGAATTCCTATATAAGCACTGCTATATCACACACTTGCAAAGCATAGCTTAAAAAACCCCCAGTTTTCACATAAACAGATGCTCTGACAAAAGCCCTGTGCAAAATGTTTCCTTTGCCAAGAGAGTAAAAGGAAACCCATTTTAGCTGAAGAATCAGCTTTTAAAGGCATAGTAAATGAGGTATAAAACTGAATTCAGAGCATTTCCACTACTTTCTCATCTTTCCAGCATCCTCTGGGCTGGACTCTCTCTGACAATCCCTCTTCCACAGCCAGCTGGGGAACTGCCCCAGGAAGCGGAAGCACACAATAAATACATAAATATATAGAAGCAGTTGAAAACAAAGAAATCACGAAGTTTTTAAAGCAAATTTCTACATGCTGGGTACTCCTCGAGCTAACCAGATGCTGCCAAATGCCTGGCACTAGAGAAACACCTATCATTTTACCCCATGATATATTACTAACCCATATTAGACTTTGCACAGAAACACCAGGCTGCTGTTGCAGGGGAGGGGGAAGAGGGGGAAGTAAGTGCACTGCACCATAGAACAGAAGAGACTTCAGATAGCCGTGGTATTATCTCAGGAGTTTCAGTCTGTCAGATGGGGATTGGAGGGGGAATTGCCTGGGGAATGCACTTCCAGGGACACTTTCTACCAAGAGAAGAGCCCCCCACATCTTTGTAAGCAACTGATTAATGGAGTAGGGATGGGAAGCCCCTGTTTGAGCAGAGATCATCTACCATGGGCTTTCAGGCAGAGGCACATCAGATTTGGACTCTACCAGATCCCAGGCTGCTGCCAATAACAGGCACGTAACTCTTGCAACATGTCACAGTGTTTGATAGCAAGGGGACCACAATGCATGTCTTTTATCATCTGGCTCTACGTGATACACTGATACCACTGGAAAAGCCAGCACTGAATCACCTGGGGAACAGCAGATATGCTTTTAGCCTGAAGGATGGCCTGTCTGGTCTTTCCCAAATCTATCAGCTAACCTAACAGGAGATACTACTTCCTATGAACGTCACCTTGTCATGGGAGCGCCGCAGGCAGCAAGACCATCAGTGCATTAAGGGAGGGAGCTGGCTGGAAGCACACACTGCTCTTGTTCCTGAGGTGGTACAGCTACAGAACAGCTTTTACAAAGCATCAGCACTTGCACATGGTTGTGAAGGGGCCCAGAGAAACGACTCTCAACAGGCAGGCATCTGCAATGAGAAGGGAATGGACAAGTAGAGAACTTGGTGCTCACTTCCAGCCCTGCTGTTGGGATTTCAGGTGCCAGATCCTGCAGAGCTGTGGCTGCAGCACCAGAGATAGGGCAGTGTCCTGCTCCTGGCTGCAAGGCAGAGATAAGGCCCCTGGGACCGATGGAAATGCAGGGCACAACTAAGCCCAGGGTCTGCAGGAGGAGTGAAGAAAAGCACATAAGGCAGAGGAAGAGCACAGTCAAATCAGTCGAGCAAAGCACCTCAGAGAAGTTTCATCTATGCACAAATACAGGGCTGCTTACCAAGCAGATGCTACAGCTGAAAATGTGATTTTGCACTTTGCACCAATGTGGGCTACTTGGTTCTCCCAAACCAACTCTCATCTTCACCCCTGGCAACTGAACAAGAGCAACCAAACAGAGAGGTTGTGCGCTATGAAAAAGCTTGAACAAGACCTCAGCTGACACAAAACCAGAACTGAACCTGTTTCTGGTTAAGATGGAGCCTTAACTCACATCACAGAGCAGCAAAGGGCAAAAAACCCTCCTTACCTGTGAAGCACAGCTCCTGGAAACAGTCAGCACCTTTGCTCTGCCCCCACCAGTTGTCTCCAGCCACCTTCTCCTACAAGGCCTGGGATGACGGGTTACCTCAGAGCCTTGTTTTGAACCCATCTCCTGTGCTGTCTGCCTCCAATGTGTAACTTCAGCCATCGCTGGAAGGGGGGAAGGTGAGAGCCCAAGCAGTATTTCTGGTGCTGGATGTTGCCATGTTCTCCATCCCCAGGACTGGCTTCATATGGCTTGTCAGCCACAAGAACAGGAGCACCAGCTGTAACTTAGAAGTGGGCATCCCTTGACAGAGATGATGAGCCATTGACATAAGGGACCTCCCATTATGTGCTGGAATAACATTCAACACATGAAGCAGATCAGAAGATGCATGGCCAAAGAGAAAACCCCATCAAGCCAGAGCTGCTTCCCAGCCAGTGCTAAATCATCACCAAAACTCGACTCAATCCTAAACATTTGTTTCCTTTTATATTCTGCGTGACAACAGTGCACCTTTGGGGCTAAACTATCTCCAAAGGCATCCTTGCGTGCATATGCTTTCCTTGCATTCAATGCAGACAGCTCAAATGGGAAACAGCCTTCCTTTCCCCCAGACACTTCCCAGGTCCAACACACACGGCAGGCAACAAGCTGCTGGTCATGCAGAGCAGGGAGCAAGCAAGAAGCCTCATATGAAGAAATCCAGGCCAAACAGTGTCTGGGACTTTCTCACTGCATAAAAGAGGTCACCATTAAGAGCAATGGCAAACCATGGGAAGAAGGCTACGTGTACAGAAGCACTCACACACCCGTGCAAGTAAATCCCATTTACTTCCACTGAACTACCTGGACAAGACTTTCCAGCCACCTAAAGCGGTATAACCCATGATGCTGATGGACAGTGGAAGTTTATTCCTGGAGATGCTCTTAACCCTTATAAAAACAGCAGCCAGGGTGGAATCCAGTTTGAGGAATGGGATTCAGCTCTACAAGAGCAAATCCCCTTAGCGCAGTGTGAGACTTCTGCCAGCACACAACTTCAGAGGAGACGCAGACCTGGACCTGTCTGGGGTCTGGTTTTTGTTCTTTATTAACCATTTTCATGGGCCTCTTCACTTGTGGATTCCAACCCGACTGGAAGCAGCGGAGGCTGGAAACCTCACAAAGCTTTCCAAGTGTGAAACCTGCTCCCTGGAGCAGCCTGGATGCCCTTCAGGTTTGCATCCAGGCTTCCAGGGGCTGAGCCAAATAGTCACCCCTCTCAGATGCTCAGGATGTTCCCCTGTCAGAGAGTTCTCAACCTGGAATACAGGCTGGAAAACAGGATCGGGAGATCACCCGGTGCAAAGGACTGATGGGGCTCACAGGCACAGACAAGGTGGTGCCCAGAGAACAGCTCATTGCAGCCAGCAGTGCTTTTCCCACTAAACCCCCATTTTCCACCCTTTCCTACGGATCTCCCTGGCTCCATCGCTCTCATCCCATAATTAGGTTGGGCACACAATGCCTCGCGCTCACCTCCACACACAGACACAACTCTCAGGCAAGGTTTAAAAGCCTCAAGCAATGCCAAACTCAAACGCGGCCGGGACATGCAAAGCAAAGCTGCCTCTCAGCCAAGAGAGCTGGAGCGTGCATGGGGAAGAGTTTCCCTCTCTTTCTTTCTGCTGCTTTATTCTCCAGACTCACAATGAGGGCTGTTCTCTCCTGAAAGGGGGAATCCAGCACACCCCAGCTTTGTATTGATTCACTGCAAAGCAAAGGCACAGATCCTCCTCCATTAAAGCAGCCACCTCCGGCCTATGATGAACTGATGGAGCTGAACCAAGGGGAAGCAGTGGCTGGTGGCTCTCAGAGGCTTGAGAATCAGCGTTTCCAACTGACTGCCTCCCTCACCCCTCTGAGCCCCCCAGCCATCGCCACCTCATTCACCAGCCCAGGTGGGATGGGAAGTGGGAAGAAAAACTCTCCCTCCATCACCACTCTCCTTTACAGAGCTGCCATCCACCTCCCACCAAAGCAGCCTTGAAACCCAAGCCAGCCATTGGAACTGTTAACTGGGTTGAGACAAAAGCTCTGGACCACATCCTCAAGGGCTCAGCATCCTCCATGCAGCACTGAATTCCCATACGTTTCATCCTGCATTGCTTTCAGAGTGAGGCCATGGAGAAAAGGAGAGGCAGGAAGGAGCATGGCCGTGCTGCAGAGGGCTCACAGGCTGCTCTGTGAGGCCATGTTCTGCATCCAGGTGGTGTGGTCTCAGATCTATTACCAGACCTTGAGGAAAGGAAGCAAAAATGATTACAATGACCCCCAGAGGGGGTTGATACTGCTGTCACAGAAAGTCTTGAGCTGGGCAAATCCACTGTGTCCCTGGTCATTGCTCAGGACATGGAGTGACAGCCAGTTTGCAATAGGGCACTGGAGGAAGGGAGATGCCAGCTCCCTGGTCAGAAGACAGAGATATGACTTTCCTTCCTTCTCATACCTGCTCTTTGGAGACAGCATCCCACATACCTATACCAAAGCAGAGCCTGTTGGGGACAGCCCAGGGGATGCCATAGTCCCAGTCTATGGGACTGGGACCATGAACACCAATGCTGGAATCAGCTGGGCTCCCCCACCTTATCCACCTTCAGCAGGGCTGAGGCATGCACTCCATGGATCAGGCATTGCCCTCCAGCTGTGTTTCCACTGCCCAGCTCAATGGCTTCACTCTCCTGGACTCCTGCAACACAAGCCATAAATAATGAGGATCTTCAAGTGTTGTGTGCCCATTGAACTGAGACCCACAGAGCTGATGGGAGCAGATCCTCACAAGCTGGCGGTGATGGGGCTGTAACCTTGAGAGGGGTACCTTCATCAGGGCCTGTAGCAACAGGATAAGGGGCTTGGAAAAGGATGAGCTTTAAGGTCCCTTCAACACAAAACATTCCATGGTTCTATGAGACGCAGATAGACCCACCCTAATGCACGACGACTGTGACTTTGGCTTATTGTGCATCCTGATTCCCTGCTGCCGAAGCCATAAATGTGCCTGTAGGTGGCCCAGAAACACTGACTTATTAAAAAGAGGAAGAAGGAGGAGGGGGAGGAGGGAATGAATGCAGCTCTGTCAGGCTTCTACAGAATTGTTACGTTTTGGTGCTTGTTTTCCAAAGATTAATGTTTTTCTGCATGTGTCATTCTCTTTTCATGCATTTTTGAGACCCTGGAGCTTAGAAACTCAAACCCCTGTCAGTCACATCAACCCCCCTGCACAAAACATAGCTGCCACTGGAGTGGGTTAAATAAACCACAACAAACCAACACCAAACAGAATGCACTTTTCCATCAAGCTGTGACTGGGTCACTCTGCTCAATGCGAGCGAGACAATGCTCAGAGAAAGCAAGAAACAGATGAGAGTTTTCATACTCATGGCTGGAACTAAATGGATTAAGGTCATTTCCTCGGTAGGTTTGAAACCTTCTGCAACAATTTTATGCAAAGAAAAGGAAAAGTGTCCATTCCTCCCCAAAAAATAAGGGAAAAGTCACTGCTGCAAAAACATTAAATCTGCTTGGGTAACTCAGAATGTATGTTGGCAAGGCAACCCATCTCAGCTTGAACAGTAAACCTGCTATGTCAGAGGCTCTGCAACATATGAAAGAGGCTTGGGTTTCAATATATCATGCCGAATTTACTTCTTTTCAGCCTTTCATGGCAAAGCATTTGATGTCTGTCCTTTCACTGCTGCAATCGATAGGGTGACCTTACTTAAAAGTTGCCCGACCTTTGCTGTTGTCAGTATTGTTCTGCTAAAATGTAATCTAACTCTTTTTCTTTAGTCTGGAAATAGCACTGTACAGACAGCAAACATGACGGGGCCTTGGTGTTCCCCCCAACAAAACCTAGAGGCAAAAACATCCATCATCAGAGCTGGCTTAGAATCAGGTGATGTCAAGAAGGCTACAACGCGCAGCAGCCCAGGCCCTCTGCTGAACTGGCCCTGTTGAGTTGCACTGATTTCATACTTCACACTGGCACCAGGCCCACCGGCATGTGCAGAGGGTCTGGTTGGTTTCCCAGCACTTTCATAGCATCCCAGACTGGGTTGGCTTAAAGTGACCTTAAAGCTCATCCAGTTCCAATCCCCTACCACGGGCAGGGACACCTTCCACTAGAGCAGGTTGCTCCAAGCCCCTGTGTCCAACCTGGCCTTGAACACTGCCAGGGATGGGGCAGCCACAGCTTCTCTGGGCACCCTGTGCCAGTGCCTCAGCACCCTCACAGGGAAGAGCTTCTGTCTAAGAGCTCATCTCAGTCTCCCCTCTGGCAGGTTAAAGCCAGTGCTGAAGAGCACCCAACTCACTATTTTAGCCATAGGATTGGGTGGTATCCCTGGACTCACAGCATCACTGGACATTGCTATCTCTTTGGTACTATGAAGCTGTAACATTTCCAGGCTAGAGCTTTAGCTTAGACCTTGCAAGTATTCCACATAAACCCAGGAAACCAAACAGATCAAGAATTACATGAAAAAGATGTGGATTGTTTTCAAGCAGCAACTACCAAAATGGAAGGAGACAGATTTGTCTCATGACAGTAGGTGTCAGAAGAGTCAGGCACACGCTATAGGGTTACAGCTGGATTATCCATCACAGGATATTTATGAGCCTGGCTTGAACCATATGATAACCCTGTAATGCAACTCACTGTTATTATGTGTTCTGTTGCTGTTATGGCTGTGTTTGTTTGCATTAGTGATGCTGATGCGCACGTCTGCACTCACACCCATACATTTGCACAGGATTATGGCTACAATTCCTGATCCTACTTATAGAAAGCCCTGTAAATCCCAGATAGCTCCCTTTAAATCCGCAGCATTATCCTACTGCAAATCAGGGCAGACTCTGGCTCAGATGCTCTTCACTACACTCCGTTATGGAGGAGGGAGGCTAAAAGCAATAACCTGGACTCGGTACACACCAGTTCCCCCCAAACCCCATCGCACTTCATCATGCACTGCTCAGCCCCATACCTCATCATGGGGGCTGAGCCCCACTTGTCGAAGTACCAGCTGAACTCTTCTGATGAAGAAACTCTCTGAAGCAGTTTAAGAGCTGGCTTTGACAGTGCAGCCATGGCCACGTGCTTAAATATTCCTCACAGCTGAGTTATTTCTTGCTTCTTTGGAACTTGAAATGGCTTTTCTGCTCAGTGAACTCATGAAAGGGTAGTATCTAAAGTCAGCAGCACTGAAACGATGGATTAAGAAGCAGGCAGGTTAGGCGTTCCCTACAATACATTATGTAGATGGTTGCCAGAGGAACTGTTTTAAAGTCACTGTGCTACACCTCAATGTCGTTTATGGCTCATAAAAGGAACTCTGTCTTTAAGTAACAGTAAAGCAGGACTATGCTTTCTATATATAAGAAATAAAATCAAATCCTTTCTCCCCAAGCAGATGTATTTGTATTTGCTCAGTGCCTGCCCCTGAGCTATGTGGAGTCTGACAGCCCTGGGATGCTTTCAGCCATAACACACAAAGGTTAAGCACAAGGACTTGCTCCAGCATGCATTATGTTTGATTTTTACTGATCTTAACATAGTAAATTTAACCCCACTGTGAAGGCAAGACCTGTCCCCCCTCCACATGCACCTGCAGTTGTCAAAGGAACAATGGAGATCTCTGGGTACAGACAGCCACAGGACCCATCAGTCCTGCCCCAAAGCCACAGCCCTGCAGCAGCAAGAAGCAGAGACTCTTCATCTCCAGGGTTGGGACATTTGGCCAGGCAAGGTGGCAGCAGCCACCTCATCACATCAGTCACTGCAAGTCACAGTCACACCCACCTGAAGATGTGTTTTCACTCTCCTGTTATCTGCTGATAAATTCCCTCAGCTCAGACCCCAAGGCATCCAAATCCACTTCTCTGGTCTCTGTCCATTTACACACTTCTCATAGAGTCACCTCGGGGGCACTCACCTCCACACAAGTAGTGCTGAATCCCAGGGAAGGCCTCGTGCAACCCCTCCCAAGCCCCAGTGCTGGTTCTGCTTACTCCAACCTCCAAACCAGGTACAGCATCCCATGAATACAGCTCTCTGCCTGAGACACAACCTGAAATGATACAGTTACACTGCTATAAACTGAGCAACACCCTGCAGGCACACAGGAGTGGGATAAAGAGCTGTACCCAGCACCTTCAGTGAGGATACACATAAGGGTGCTTGGGCATGTAAAGCAATGCCCAGCTAAATCAGGAACACTGATTTCTCAGGATTAACACACCATCTCCAGTGTTAACTATCAGCACGAGGGAGCACTTTTCTTTCCTTGCAGTTGAGCAGTACCTTAAGAAAGTCTTACGGGAAGCTCAAAATCCCCTTCTCCTTGAAGCAGCGGCACAAAAGGCTATACCTATGTAGCTATGTGGTGACAGTTATGCTGGCAGCCTTCTTTGCAACTGGCTCCTCTGTTTGGGTATGGACCAGTGATATTTTAGAAGCACAAGGACAGGATGATAGACTTTGCAGTGTTGCCAAATGTCTCTATAGCATCACCTCCGAGGTGAGAAATGCTGCATGGAGAAAGAAACAAAATACAGTCATTACAAAACTGTTTAGCTCTTCGGATCTCAGGGGGATGCGGCTGTGCTTTGATTTAACAGGAATTTAAGCACAGCCTTCACAGCAATGCAGTTAGCACTGTGTTAGAGTTGCAAAACACACACCAGCAACAGCAAGTCAGTGGTGGCTGTGAGACACCAATGATTTAACATCAGTTACCTTGTCCTGAGATGAGGATGACCACGATTCAAGTGTTTGGTGGCTTAAAGATCTCCTTTGTGCCTCCGGCAGCAGCTGAATTTGGCCCCACACTTTGACAGTATGGTGCTGCAAATTCAATGCAAATTATAACAAAGAGAGGAAGAGATAAAAAGGGATTTAATGCTGTCAGGACTGCTAACCCCAAATTCCATCACAAGCAAAACCCACAGAACCTGGATTAGTCCAAACATCCACTCCATCTGCATACTTGCATATTTTCCTTCCACGTGTTTATCTCTAAGCTACAAGCACAACCTTTCATCACTCCCAACAGCTTTCACCTTATAAATCCATCACCTTCCGCAACAGCGCAGCTGCTCCTCCCACCCCTTCCCCTCTCCGCACGCACCAGTGCTGCCTCACATTCCTCCTTCAAGGGCTCCTGCCCACTGTCAACAAACACGAGGAGAGCATAGCCTGACCTGTTTGCTCCTGCACCAGACAAAGAAGAGGAGGTGGCCTGGGGATTTTGACAGAAAGGACCGCAAATCAAACCACTTGTGGGCACAGACTGGGTTGGTTTTTTTCCAGATCTTTATTTTACAAAAATAACTTACAAATAGAGACAACTCTCAGAAGTCAGCTCATTCATTCTGTGCATAAGGATAGAGCTTGGTGAAGGACGGGCGTAGGAGTTAACAACTCTTACAATACTGTTAATTTTAACATGATGGCAACTATATTACACTACATACATTTCATGCTCCAGAAATGTGGGTATCACCACCCCACAAAGCTATGGTCAGCAAAGTGTGTCAGCCAAGGAGGATGCGCCTAAGAGCATCATTTCCATGCTGCTATTCATCAGCATCCTCTTCCCTACAACAGTTGAAACCAAATGGCAATCTAACACTCAGATTACAGCACTCTGGATACACTCATCAGCAATACACCTCAAATACATGATAAAAATATATTTAACTTTCAAATACAATTGTATAAGGTACACCAAGAGCCAGAAAATAAAGTCTTGAGCTTTTAAATACAACACACTATATATATATAACATATACAAGGAGACAGAGGGAATCTACATGTGGAAGGAAAAGCTTATGCTGAAAAAATCATGTTATCTATGGTACACAATGGCTTTGTCTGCTAGAAAGTCACCCCCATTTGCATAGCATTGTTGAGAAGTCCAGACCAGGCTAGGAGAAAAGGCTTAATTTTGGTACCACTTCAATTCTTGCACTTGATTCTACTCTTAAATTACAGTTTGCTATTTCTCTTCTGTAGGCTGGAATTCATGCCCCGTTCATAACACGTACAAGGAAAGCTGGGTAAAAACCCCACACAAACAAACAACACACACAAAACCATCACGCAAAGAACAAAGGTCAGAGAGTCAAAGAGGTGTCTTTAGGGGGTTGCAGTCATTTGGCATTTTGCTCAAGAGCAGAGTATTCTGCTTCTGACACCCTGGAAGCATCAATAAGTTTAGTGAGACCAGTTTTGGCAGAGTACTTGAAAATAAAGGCTTTCATGAGCTCGTATCTGTAGTTGCGGTTAATGAAGCTGTAGAGGATGGGGTTGACGCAGCAATGCACTAGAGAGAAACACTGAGTGATGTGAAGAGTGGCATATAAGAAGTTCTCCATCTGACAACTGAAAGGTATGAAATGAAGGCTGTAAAAGATGTCAAGCAGGACAGCTATATGGTAGGGCAGCCAGCAGATGAGGAACACGACAACGTAAGAGAAAATGATCTTCCCATTGCTCTTCCTCTCTTGGTCACTGGAGGCGGAGATGGTCTTCGCAAGGAGGAAATAGAAGAGAGCGATAATGGGAAAAGGTATGAGAAAGCCCAGCACGACAGAAATGAGCTCCATGCCAATCAACCACTCTTTGAAGCTCTCTTCTGGATAGACGGGACGACAATAGGTTTCATTGTTGGAATAGACTGTCTTGAGATAATAGGTGTCTGGCAGAGACACAGAGAAGGCAAGGAGCCACACTAAGATGCAGATGCAGCGACGGATTATCTTCTTCTTGCGACTGCTGGAATTGGTGAAATAGGCAACCGAGAGGTAGCGGTCCACACTCATGCACGCCAGGAAGAAGATGCTGCCAAACAAGTTGATGGAAAATATAAGGTGAGTTATCTTGCACATGATTTCTCCCATGTTCCACTGGTTATGCTGGATGAGGGAGACAACCCACACTGGAAGGGTGATGACAACACACAGATCAGCAATAGCTAAGTTGAAGATGTAGAGGTGGGTTTCATAGCCAGTCATTTTGGCTTGGAGGTTGACCCACACCACAACCGAGTTGGCCACCAGCCCTGTGACGAAGATGAAAATGTAGAAGAAGGACAGGGTGTATAGCAGGGCGCTCTTGTTGAGCGTGCCGGGGCATGTTGTCGCATCGACTGTGATGCAGTCGCCATTGTTGCACGTCCAGTTGATCTCTGTCAAGTTGGCTGTTTCCAGAAAATCAAGGATGGAAGTCAAGTCAAGTGCGCTCATGTTTGCTCAATTCGGAGTCCAAGGGACCTACAGGCAAAATAGGATAAAAAGAGGGGAGACTGAGATGAGCTCTTAGGCACAAGCTCTTCCCTGTGAGGGTGCTGAGGCGCTGGCACAGGGTGCCCAGAGAAGCTGTGGCTGCCCCATCCCTGCCTGTGGCAGGGGGCTGGAATTACATGAGCTTAAGGTCCTTTCGAACCCAACCCAGTCTGGGATACTATGAAATGACCTAAATTAACAAATATATTTCTGCTGCCATCTTCACAATGCAATGCAGGACACAGCATTTTAGTACTACGCTTATAAAGCCCTTTCCATGAAAGGGATATATGGAATAAAACACCCAATCCAGACACAGCAAAACTCCTCTGGCCGACAAGAGGAATAGCACTGGCTTTTTGTGTGTTTTTTTTCTTGCATGCAGCTCACATCTGACATCATCAGGTTAGCTATCATCCCCGGGTGGGAAATCTGCAGAGCACACCATGGCCAAATAAATGTCAGGCGACTAAATCTGTCTTCTCTAGCATAAATGATGATCCTATCGCTTTCAGCAGGGGAATCTTTAAGCCACTTTATCTGCACTCCCTCAAGCATAGTAGAATTGATCTGGCTGATACATGGTACTGTAAAACATTTACCACAAGCTCTGGTCAGCATCTTGTCAAGCCCAGCTCCAGCTGCACTAAGCAGAAATGGGGAAATGAGGGGCTTTGTACCCTTGCCCAGTTTTAAATTTAAACCCTGCTCCATCCTTCCCCCTTCAATTGGATTCCCTATTACACAGCATTCCCTGCCGCTAATGGTATCACGTAGCTTGAGAGAAAGAAAGAAAGAAGTCAGAACTTGACCACTGGGCTTAAGTTTTCTCTTTAGGAGAGCGCTTTGATTTACAGAGGACTCCCCCATCACAGCTGGCTCCACAACAACTGTTTCCTCCCCACCCTTTTGCTTTCCTACATTGACTTTTTCTGCCTCCGGACTGCCTTCTTCTATCGGCAGGCAGCGGACACAGTAAGGGTTCTCATTACTTTCCTTGCCAGCAGCAGAAAGGCCCCAGCAGACCCACGTGGCTCATGCAAAACCTGAGGCCAGGCTGCTAATTACCACTGTGCTTTAGGGGCTGAGGATAAACGCTGCTCCCTCACTGGCACCCTCCCACCCCACAACAGTACCACCCACAGCAGCAGCCCTGGCCTGTGACCCCCACGCTTCAGCCCTGCACCCATAGGCTCCAGCACACCAAAATAAAGATGGAGAGGGGTGTTTCCAAGGGATGGACCCCATCTCATTCCCCATGGCTTCACTGGAGCCAGAGCAGTATGTCAGCCAGCCCACCCAGAGTCTCCACCATGCACACTTCTAGCATCCTCAGCCGTGGCTACCTTGTTCTTACCCATGCCAACAGCCCCAACAGGGAGAGGTACCTCCTGATGTTGGCCAAGCCCTAGGGGCAAGGCCAGCATGAGCTCACAGCCAGAGAGAGCAACAGGGGGGTAAACCCCTACAGCCACCTGTACCTCTGAACATCCTCAACCCCACCATAAGACAGCTTGGTAGGGCTTACAGACCACAGAGGAAAGAGCTCCGAGCACCGTCTTTTAGCCCCTGCTCCCAAAAAAAGGGACATGGGTTGGCACAGCACCTCTCCCTTCTCCATCTGCATAATTGGCTCTTCCCAAACCTCCCTCCCTCCCCACCTGCCAGAGATACAGACTACGGAAGAGAAGGGAGATAAAGGGGGAGATTACCAGGAAGGACTCAAGGCACTATTGTTCCAGTGGAGAGGAAGCTGGTGGCACTAACAATGAGGGAAGCCCTGCATGCATCCAGGAGAGATCAAATCTCTTCACAAACAGGGCCCAAACTGGCCCTGTGAGGAGATCTAGCCTATCACTTCAAACCTATTCAGCCTTCCAGGCTTTCATCCAGCTGGCCTGCTGAAAGATGGCGTTGAGATTCAAATCAAATTAAGCATGGGTTTTGCTGAAACGCTGGCTAAAGAGGGAGCTCAGACAGTGGCAGCTTTCTGTCCTGGGATAGACGATCCCCATCTTCAGGAAAGCAGAGAGTGATTTAACCCATTTCTATGCAGGGCAGAAGAGCTGCAGAGGGGAGAGAGATGGGTCTTCTGCCAGACCTCATCCAGGGTCTCATCACTACCACTGCGTCCCAAGTGCAAACGCTTCTGAAGGCCTCTCAAGTGTGGGGAGAATCAGCAGGATCCCAGAGCTGCCGTATCTCAAAACCCCACAGCACCCAGACAAAACTCCTTAAAAGCCACAACAATCCCAGCCCACAGCATGAGCCACCGTCTCCTGCTGGCATCTGTGGACAGCGAGGTGAACAGAGCAGCAAAAACATCAGGCTATCCCCACAAAACCTCACTGAAGTAGCACAGGTGGGGCTGGGCATCTTCTGTGGTCCAGAGCAAGGGGAGTAGGCTCTTTCCACATCTCAAGACCCCAGCTTAAACCACCCTCCAGGACAGCTGTGACCACTCATGACAAAGTCTCCAGCACATCCCCTAATGGAGAAGAAACTCAGACCTGGCTGTGGGGTGCTAACAGAGAGGCACTAAGGGCGATCAGGGAGGCAGCAGGAAGCCCCTGAAGCTGGGGCTCACACCAACACCAGCCTAGGACAGCAGCTAGCAGAGGGCATCACATCCCAGGCGCTCACTCTGGGCATCTCATGCAGCAGAACACAATGACCAGCCCAAATCTCTGCCTGCCTCTGCTCCAAGCACAGGTCTGCTGCACGCACGTGCATCCCCTCTGCCCGAGCCGGCTGCATGCCTGTGCGCTTCCGCATCCCCAGCGCGGCAATAAAACCTGAACC